CTATGAATCTTTAAGACATGCAACAGCAAAACACATTTACCTTTTTCTGTTTTCCTTACCAGAGCTATGGAGAAAAAAAAAATGAAATTTGCAGTCTTCCGCACTTGATAAGCTTTCCCCAGAACGCTGCCTCTTACCTCACCATTATGTTCCTTGCTACTGCGCGGCTTTGTTTTCCTCATTTTATTTTATAATCTTTATGCTTGTATTTAATGTTAAACTAAGAAAAGAGACCGACTACGACATAAATCGTTCTCTGAGATGAGCAAGACGGTTCATTTACGCTTGACGCTTACACGACGCCTAATTTTCATGATCGCGCGGGAGATTTACACCTGATGGCGTACCTCACATTGGTTTGCTAGGCGTTCTTATACCATACCCATTTACAAGGTTTGTTTTAAATTTGATATCGTTAATTCTTCACTCTTTTTTGTCGTAGAGAGGTTTGTCCGAGGTGCAGTCGTGTAACAGCTACAGCCCAGAAGATTTCTTGTCATTCCCGTCGCTTTGTTAAAACTTTTTTTTACTTTTTAGAATGATCAAGCGTTCAGTGGTAAATATTAACCAGGGACACAGTTTTCTTTGTACTGCATGAAACGTCGGTTATGCAACTAGGGTACAACTCACTATTTATAGCAGGGGAGGAACGAGGAAGGTCTTTCACTAACAGATGAACTGTAATTACTCTGAAATTCAATTGAAGAACAAGTATGCTTTAAAGAAAGTGTATGAAGACAGAGAAACCATTAATTCTGGCTTCTGCCTGGCAGTTGTATCAAAAAATGCATATTTAATCCAGTTTCGCCAGAAGAAAGTTAAACCTCATTGCTTGCACAATGTAGTCTAAACAAAGGTGTGATTGAATTGATTTGAATGAGTTCGTTTCATTTTCATTTTCCTCTCCTCAAGGTACATTACCATAGTCTCAAACCAATAGCAACAACAACTGAAGTCTCCACTTATAATGCTTTTATTAGAAATATACTGGTACTCGTAGAGTAAAACACATTCTGGTTACGGTAACAGTTACAACTTACATATTACCTAGAACTTTATAAGCAATATTTCCTTAATTTAAGCCATGTTATTGGAAGCTATTAAAGTAACATATGTAGCAATGCTTGATAACATATCAAGGCAGTATCTTAAAATGTAGAGCTACATGAAATATCCTACATTTTGCAAAAAAACAAATATTGAATCTATTCCAGTCTCTTTCACCAGTTAACAATCATGAATTACTTGCTTCCTTCTCACCTACATTGCGAAGTATCACAAACTAATAAAAACTATTAAGCTGGAAAGAAGTGAATATACAGTGTACAAGAAATAAATCCAAACTTTTTACAAAAATAAATCAATAGAACATGGAACAAACCGTCCCAGGATGAAAAGAAAAACCTATTTTAAAATTCTCCTTTTCTATTCCTGTACATGTATTTTTACATTGAAACATATTTACACCTAACAGGCTTCCACTTGAGCCTGACATGTGACAGAATAGTCAATACTTGTGCTCTCAAAGTTACAACTGTATAATTTACTTTCTCCTTCTATTTCCACTGTTTCCACAAAGTGTATAAGGAACCATGTTTGTCTGTCAGTGGGCTGGTCGTCTTTCATTAAGGAAGGCTCCACTTCCTCCATGAATGCCTCGCCATCTTCATCACTGGCAAGGTACCTCCCAGTGTATTTAGACTTAATAGACATGAAATCACTATCTTTGTTGACATTTTGAACTTCAAACATGTATTTCATTTCATCAGGCTGATGGGCACCCAACTGAAAATAAAGATATAGATCTGAATTAACGACCGAAACCAGACAGTTGTCACTTTGCTGCAATAAATACAAGACTGAGTTATCGGTCAGGGTGGGGGCAAGTCATTATTATAAAATGATTCAAGGTTATTCTACAAATAATTATTTCCCATATGAAATAACTAAGAATGTACAGCAAGAAAGAGATTATAATAGTTACCTTTTGCCCACTCTATGTGCTAAATTTTTACCTAAGTAATTTGTTTATGGCAAGTTGCAATTGAAGACAGAAGTAATAATAATTTCATAATCACAGTAAATCACAACTCACCTGTAAAAACACCCTGTTCCCCTCTACACATAGATAGTAATGGCTGCCATCCAAGTCATACCTTATAGTATTTGCCCCATGGTTATAAGATTTTTCTATGTAAAATACTAGAAACATGAAAATAAAAAAGTCTAAGTCATTATTTGAGGTAAACTGAACTTTTTAATGAATACTTAATTTACCTCTGAACCATTTATTAATTAAGATAAACTGAACTTTTCAATGTATATTTACCACGCTTAAAATTATTTCAGTCATGTGATAAAACTGATAAAACACAGGGAAACTACAATCTCAAAGTTTTTTTCCTGTTCACTAACAAAAATACTTCACGTAAACTATTTCTCGAAGTTGTTAATTGCAAAAGCAGAAAAGTTCTGCATTACTTTCTGGAATAATTTTAACACAAAAATTGCCAGTATGATTGGATTAAGAAGGCCTTGTCAATGTTCACAGATATTTGGGCGTCTTTTAAAGTAGTTTTGCAATTAAATCTCCGTCAAAATTAATAAATGACATAAAAAATCTGTAAGTGTCTTTATATGTAGATTACATTTACAATAGTCTCTGTGTAAAGGCCAGTTTTAGTCAGTTACATTTCGGCGGAATCTCTCATCTTTCGAATTACGCTCGATTATTTTAGACTATTCCACTTTCAACTTGGATAAAAGCTTCATCACAGCCTTTGTGAGGATCACACCCAACCATACGCTTAAATTTACCTGTTTTGTAGCCCCGATGGCTCCCGGTAAACTCTACAGGAATTTGACGACCAGGCTCGCCCTCCGGCAAGTCTGCCACGAAGAGGTTTCCGCTTCTGCTAAGTCTGTGCTTGGGGATGTCCATTCGAGCGCACGCGCTGATTTCAATTAACTGTCCGGGAAGGTTGAAAAAAAAGAAACAAGAAACATCATATAGGATCTAAATCCAACATAACGCCACGCAACTGGAAATGAATGGCGCGGGCTTAACTCTTTAATTGAAAATTTAACTGCATGGAATCCACGATTGAATGGGTTGGAAAGTTA